AGACGTTTGTCCAAACGCCTGCAGGTTTACACTCAGCAGACGAGTCGCCTCATCCATCATTAACCAGCAAACCGACATCTTTAGCTACAACATCTCGTCATGTTGGTGTAGTTCATACAGAATACTGAGCAGAGACGCATTAGATTCCGCTTTGATTCAGACGCAGGTCAGCGTTTTTATTTCACAGTGATGAGGTTGTGGACTCTGTAAACGATTCTTTATGTGGGAATTTACACGCCGTGCGTCGTTGGGATTATTCAAACTGTAAAACACGTGCACGTTAGGATTGAATATGCACGAGTTTCACGCAGCGCTCATAAGTTCACAGACCGAAAATATACACGAGAGTGATGACGGCATTTAACAGCGTCTGCACAAGTAAAATGAACTCTTCAGACTAAGGTTGTCTTGTGCTGAGCAATCCTGCATGATGCATTAGTGCTCAGGGTGCAGGCTGTGAATATCCATCAGCTACTACCACACCAAACTTTAGCTCGTTAACAGTCAAGTTAACACAGTTGTAGTCATTTTTGTGTAGGCAAAGGGAAATCACACCATTCTCCTTGAAAAACTGAATAAATATGGCATTAGAGGATTAGCACTACAGTGGGTATCCAGTTATTTGAATAATAGGAGACAGTTTGTACAAGTAAACAATGTAAGATCTGAATTTTGTGTTAATAGATGTGGAGTCCCTCAGGGCTCTGTGCTGGGACCAAAGTTGTTTATTTTGTATGTGAATGATCTGGTTGATGTGTCAGGGCTTATGAAGTGTGTTTTATTTGCAGATGATGGGTGAAGATATTGAACGGATGTTAGAGATGATACAGGCAGAATTCGTAAAAATAAAAACTTGGTTCCATCTTAATAAGTTATCCTTAAATTTGGAAAAAAAAAACTAAATGATATTTAGTATTAGAAAGAAAATTATCGAAGTCCTATTTAAAATTGACAGTATTAAAATTCATAGAGTGAATGAAATAAAATTTGGGGGTGTTGTTATTGATGAGAAGCTGACATGGAAATCTCATGTAAATTACTTAAGAATAAAATTAGCAAAAATTAGTTGCATTACTGTATAAAATAAAATAGGTTTTGAATGAAAAAGCTATGTATATATTGTATAATGTAATGACTGTTCCATATTTAATCTAATGTATTGAAGTTTGTGGAAAAGCATGCAAAACAATTACAAATCCTTTTTTTTTTTTTTTTTCTTTAAGAGCTATAAGAATTATTAGTAGGAAGTGCTATGGTCACCCAACAAATATATTATTTCATCAGTTGAAATTATTACAATTTTATGATTTGGTTCAATATAGTATGTTGCAAGTCATGTATAAAGCTCATGAAAAATATTACCCCCAAATATTCAATTAAAATATTGTTAAAAAAGCGAGACATTATAAACTTAAGGGAATGGAAATGTTTGTTAAACCTCTATTTCGAACTAGTCTGAAGGAGCTGCGTTGTCATTTAGGGAATAGGATTGTGGAATTGCCTTGATATCACCACCAAAATTTAGAAAATAATGAATATATTTAAAAAGATGATTAAGTTAAAGTTGTTGGGAAGGATGAAGGTGCCAGGTGAAGGATGCCTGATTTTTTTTGTTTCCAATTTGGAGATTCAAGTGAAGGTTATTGTTTGTTTGCAGTTATTTAATTTATTTTTTAAAATAAAGGGCAGATATTATTTTTAAAAAATTATTCTTTCTGCACCCCTTTCATTCAATGTTTTTTTTTCTTTTTGATGTAATTGTTTTGCTTACTTTAAATGAATGAATAAATGGGAAGAAAAAAAATCAGCTGTGGTTGCCATCTTGAATTCTGTTGACCTTGAAAGTAAATTAGTTGTAGATATACAGTTAATAATTACTTTCTGAAAGTTTAATTGAATTACATGCAGCGAGTCATGGAATATTTTGCTAACAGACAATCAGGAATGACTACAGTTAATGGCAAGGTTTTGCATAAAGATGCTGCGCAATGTGCTGCGTTCAAAGTATGTGTTGGGGATGAAGCTCAGCTACGCAAAAAACAAATTTTTACTAAATCTATTTAAAATTGGCCGAGTTACAGCCATTTATATGTTTTTCAAGTACAGCTGGTTAAAGCAGCCATCTTGAATTGGGTTGAGTTCAAAAGTTAAAGAGTCGTAGACGTCAACCCATTCATCACTTTCTGAAAGTTTCGCTAAAATCTGTTCAGTACTTGATGAGATATTTTGCTAACAGAGTTAATTCAAATGGCGTTTTAATCATAGATCTATTAGTGATTAGTTCTCAGAATATAATCTGAAGAACACTCTCAGCTACTGCTACACCTTTAGCTCAACAACTGTGAGATGGGCTGAGTTGCAGCCATTTTTGTGTTTTCTAAGAACACTTAACTGTGGCGGCCATCTTGAATTCAGTTAACTCTTAACGTTAATCAATTGTAGGTGTCACACTTCCTGAGAGTTTTATAAAAATGTATTCAGTGATTTATAAGAGATGTAGCTAATGGTACAAACACGCATGCAGAGATAACAGAATTGTAGGTAAATGCAACAAAACTGAAATTGTTGCTGCATTTTCTTATTGAATCGCATTATAACCGTACGGATGCAGCGCCTTCGTCAAAAAAAAAACCCTAAAGCATGAACGCATCGCTGTCTGTGGTGCTCTGCAACGCTGTGAACACATTCTTCACGCCGGCCTCTCAGAGCCACTGGGGCATTCCTGGGAAATGCAAAGGTGCAGATTTTTTTTCCGCCTGCTCATCAGTTTGATAGCTCTCAGTCTATCAGAGACGATCCCTGCCGGAACCGCCTGAAACGAGCCACGATCAATCCTGCGCTAACCAGCCTCTCACTCCGTTTTACCCGAGGTGTGTAGACAAAAAAAGAAGAGAGCTGCATGATGTGAGGCTTTATTCAAAAGAGCTGATCAATGGTTAGGAAATAACTATTATCACCAGAGAGAGAATATCATAAGAGAATATCACTTTATTTCTTCTATCAATGGAATATTATGTAAAAGGTGAAACTGAACACGGAATGCAAGTAAACCTTTATGTTTTTGGTGTAAGACATTCCAGTGGAGCCGCTGCTAGAAAGAAAAAAAGTGCCGAATCAGTCACATCTTTAGCTGCACGGACATGTTCGAGTGTGTTTCGGACACACAGAAGGTACGTTCAGAGAGTTTTCCACAAGGATAAAGTCTTACTTCACTGTCTGAGGCAGCGACGTGTGATGGACCCTGGCGAGAGGAGGGAGCAATTCTATCCAACACCAGGTGCAATGACGGAGGCAGGGGGTGGCCAATGGTGGCCTTGGCCGCCAAGGATTAATCCTCGGCCAACCCAATCATTTGAGGAAACTATACTTTTAAGCAAAATAAAAACAAGAAAGTTTAGTTTTGTGAAATTATTGATGTGGCAGGTTTGCAAAAATAATATTATATATATATATATATATATATATATATATATTAATAAATTAACCAAAGCAGACATGTTCCTGTTTTTAGTTTTCTACACCGCCTTACAATCTAGTTGTTTTATCACTACTTTTCCTTTTGATTGTCCTTTTGGTTATTTTATTTTAACTTGTTAAAAAAATTGTATGCATCTTTTATGATTTTCTATTGTTATTGTACACTGGGGTGGGCGATATGGCTCAGAGCATTATGACGATAACGGTAAATTTCATGACATAACAAAACCCCCTGAAATCATAGTTATTCGTTTGACAAAAATAACAACATGGTGCTTTGCAGTATTATATAAAAATTAAAAAACAACAAGGGTTAATTTTACTGAAATTACTTTATTTAGTAAAGTATTCAGTCTCAAAGTATAAAAATAAAAAATAAAAAATGATCTTTCTGTTATTTAGATTGGAAAAAGTCTGCACAAAATATAGATCAATAAATCCACCACAAAAACTAAAGTGCAGGTGAAGTTTCCCCAAAAAAACTAAATAAAATGAAGCTTAAGATCTGTTGAGCATAAATGTAACATACAATAAAAACATGTTGCCTTTAAATGAGCAATAACTTCCAAAACTTGTACCAAGGTGATCAGCTGACCCTGAAGCTTGTGGTGTTTCCTCTGTTCCTGCAGGAATGATTCATTTCTCTGAACTCTGTTCTTGGTCCATGGACTGTGGAACTCAAGTGTGCACGTGTTTGTACTGGCAGTTTAACCCAGCCGAGCTGCACCCGCACCGGCAGCCCAGAACGGGGGGGGGGGCCGAGCTGCGCGGGTGGGAGGAAGGGTGAGACAGCTGAGCTGTCACTGTCTGTACCCGCAGTTTAGAGCTGGATAGAGGAGAAGCGCAGGCGAGATGTGCGTTGTTTGTTTTTAGCATTTTAGCTAGCTAGTATTGTGCGCAGCTAATTAGCGTTACGCCAGTACTGACAAGTGGAGGGGGGAGTGCACAGTTCGGTTTGGTAGTTCGGCGCACTCGGTTCTGTTAACGGGGTGGGACAAACACTGACATACATACGTCATGAAATTAGCATATCGTGATATCATTTGTTTTCCCGGGCAAGCTTTTTTTTACCGGTCTTATCGTGAACGGTATGATATATCCCAGCCCTATTGTCCACTGTTGTCATCACACTGTGTTAAAAATTCAGGTCTCTTGTAAATGAGTCCCCAAGGTTCAATAGGATTAACTTGTATAAATAAAGGTTGAATAAATAAATAAACGAATATTTATGAATACACAGTAGTCCCGCAATACTTCGCAGTTCGACATTCGTGGGACTCACAGTTTCACTAGTTTTCATCATAAGATTGTACATGACGCACGATTGTCAACTTTAATATTATTCACGTGATTGGGACGGTATGGGATAAAAAGCTAACGGGAGCAGACGGGAGCAGGAACCAACTAAAAGTGAAAGTCTGTTTTTGAAATGCCCTCTAGCAAAGTGAGATTTCTCTATGGGGAGCTAAAGTTCTGGATTAGGTGTCTCCTAACTCACACACGTTTCCAGTGTGGTGACTCACCGTTGACTGTGAGGTGCACCCAGCTGCCATTGTGGAAGGTGTCGTACTGCTGCTCCAGCATCAGGACCCTGCACTCGTACCAGCCCTGGTCCTCAGAGCGTACCGGGTCGATCTGCAGGGAGGCCTTCCCATGCAGAGAGGCTCTACCTGCACACAGATGAGAGTGGAAGGGAAAAGGGGGGAGACACATGAATTACCCCAAAACAGTTAACACAGTATCCATTAGCTATGATGTTAGACACAGAAATGAGCACATGCACACACGATTGTCCACCTCGATCATGATGCCCATGAAATTAACTCTGTGTGAAGCAGCTTGAGAATTATAATTTCTCCAGGAAGCTGCCCCGGGAGTCACACCTTCATCTGAATTACCATCAAGTATTTGATGTCACGGGAAAAGCGCCGCTCCTGTACTTCACAGAAGTCCCATCTCCTCTAAAACTCCTCCATCCACACGTCTGCCGACTTCAAGGCCGGGGATAAATTGGAATTCTAAAAAGGAGGAAATCGCGAGGGACGAGAGCCGCTCAGGAACGCAGGCGTGGCGAAATCTTCGGCTGCTGAGCCGCCCGTCTTCAAAAACCTGCAGCCCTGCTGCCTCTGACGGCCCGACAGACGGCAACGTTCGCTCCTGCTCCGCTCCGTCTGACAAGCGTTAGGAAACGAGGCGTCGCTGCAGCTGTGATGTGTAGATGTACTGTACACGCAGCGTCCTGTCACTTCAAAGTCAGCACCAGGCAAATATCCTGACACCGGGGGTGGGCTGAAACTGCTCCGTAAAGGCAACGGATAAATCCCAAACCCTAAAACTGCAATCACGGTTGAGGTGAAAACAAAAAAAACGAGGCTTTTCTATTTTGTTAGCAGAAAATCAATACAGTAAACAGGAAGCGGCACGAGTGAGGAAACGCAGGCTTGCAGTTGCAACGATAGCTTGTCTTTAAAAAGTCAGGTTGTTGGGGTTTTTTTGAGCGTTGATGACTGCGTGAAGGGAACGGATCAACCTCAGCTGCTGTTTGTCAAGAAGTCAGAAGGTCCTACAGTTACCAGAGTTTACATCCGGTTCTGACCCGACCCCATGGCAGAGATCACTTCAAGAGTACAAGCTTTTGTCTCTTGTGAAAACATGAAGCACGACCTCAGACCACATCACCGGATGGAACGACTTTAAAGCCCAATGCTAACAAAGAAAAGTGACAAAAACAGAACCACAAAATGTATCTAAAAAAGCTTTGATCAAAAGAGCCGAGCATATTTTTACCTGAGCGGCAAAGTTTTAGGTGTTTCAGTTACAGTGTGCAACACTGCGCACAGTTGAGTTGTGCGCAGTGTTGCACACTGTTTGTACCGGAAGTTTTTGAGCTGTGTGTGTGGGGAGGGGGGAGGGGGCATGTTGGGAGATGGCTCAACATGAGGGAGGCAGAGTGCTACTCTAGCTTTTTAGCTAGCGTGTCTGTATTGCGCACCGCTAGCTTAGCGCTATGTCGGTGCTGGCAGTTGTCGACGGGAGGGAAGGGGGCGCCGATAGGCAGGGCGCTCGGTTCTGTTGACAGGGCGGGGCACCCTGTTGTATAAAGATAGAGGAAACACTGGGCAATATAAAAGCATATTTCCTCAAATGATGGTGGTGGTCAGTTTACATTCATACATGGCAGTGGCCATCTTGGATTTTGATGTTGCAGCCCAACTTTTGATAGTGACTTACACCTAGATGCAGCCATACGCCATAATGGAAGTCAACACTTCACTTATTTTTCAAGTTATCGTGCTCACAACATGCTCGGATGGACAGACGGACGGGCAGAAGGTATTTTCAAGTCCCTTTTTCACTCTGCAACTAACAAAGAGTCAACCTTTGTCATTTATTCTCAATATAAATACTGCTAATTTGAGATGGGCCTCAGAGGTCTGTTACTGTGTACAAACAGCATCATGAAGCCCAAGGAGCACACCAAAAACAAAACCTCAAATGATATATCAAGCTCTGAACATCTCAAAAAGCCACTGTTCAATCCATCACCCAAAGCTGCAAAGACTTTGGTTCATCTGCAGAACTACAAGGACATGAGTGTCCACCTAAACTGACAGACCAGGCCAGGAGAGCACTAATCCAAGAAGGTGACTTTGTAGGAGCTGCAGAGGTCCACAGCCCAGAATCTGTCAACAGGACAACTATTAGTCCTGAGCTGAGACTGAATCCTTTGTCCTAAATGAAGAAAACAAACGCTGCACATCATCCTTAACACACACCTCCACTGTGAGGCATGGTGGTGGCAGCATCATGCTGCGGGGATGCATTTCTTCAGCAGGGACAGGAAACCTGGTCAGAGCTGATGGGGAAATGGGTTGAGCTAAAACAGGACTATCCTGGAAGAAAACCTTAGAGGCAAGAGGAACGGTTTGGATCAAAGCATATCCATGAACAAGTCAAAGTCCAGACCGATTTGAAAAACGTCTGTTCACAGACGTTCGTCATCCATTTTGGCTGAACTGGAGTTATTTTGCAAAGAAAAGAGGACAACATCTTCAGCTTACAGACGTGCAGAGCTGAGGGAGACAAACCCCAAAAGCAAAACATCCCAGTAAAAAACTTTGAAGTTTTGGACTAAATGTGGAGGATACTCACCCGGCACCGTATATATCACAATAAAGCCCCAACATTAGCATATGTATCGATTTCACCTCTTTACAAGCGTTTATTGGGACATGTGTCTCTGCAGCGACGGCAGTAGACACTGCCAGGCTGAAGAATCGGAGAGTTTTCTAAATCTGTGGGGAGCAGAGATGTAATTTAGTTTTCCAGCAGATTGTCCCACAGCAGCAGGATCTGACACTAAAACTTCACGAGCTGCACATCTGAATTATTGATTGAGTCTTTGCTGGAGTGAGAACAAAAATAGATGTTTTTAAATGCAATAATTTCCATACAGCTGCAGGACAAACGGGCAAGATGATCCAGGATGGCAGGAAGATATGGATCAGGTTTCTCACTTTGCAGGAAATTATAGAAGTTAAAAAAAAATAAAAGAAGTTGTTGCAATAACAAAAGATGTTCTTTAGATCTGAACGCGTGTTAAAAGCTAGATGGAGAAAGCATTAGGAGAAAAAAGAAAAAGGAAGAATAGGGAGACATAAAAAGGCAATCAAAAATGAAGCATAGGACATAAAAACGATGAACCTGAGACATAAAAAGACATAAACAGACAACAAGTTGCATAAAAAGACAAAAAGGACACGTAATCAGACAAAACGAATGCATAGGAGACATAATAGGTCATAAAATGACAAAATAAAGATAAGGGGATATAAAACTGCAAAAAGGGTGCATGAGAAGGATTAAAGACAGCATAAGGAAACATAAAAATATAAAAATGAAGCATAAGGAGTCACAAAAAGATGCATAAAAAGACCAAAGGGACACATTAAAAGACAAAAGGAGCACGTAAGGAGACTAAGAGGACACATACAGAGACATGAAAAGACAAAGACGGAACAGAAATTGATGCAAAAGAACATTTCAATGCAGTCCATGAGGAAAAATACTAAATACAACTAGAGAAATTACAGTTCCTGCGAAAATGCAGTGCGAGTGCTTACTGCTGAAGAACTTGCTGAAAAACAGCTGAAATTAACTAAAAACATGCTGAAAACTAGCTGAAATGAAAGAACAAGCCTAAGTTAGCAGAAGAAAGCAGAAAGAACACATTTGCTGAATTAGGTTTAAATAAGCAGAAATGAGCACAAAAAAATAAGGAAATCAACTAAAAACAGCTAAAATTAGGGGGGGAAACAGCTGAAAAGGTAGAAAGAACTACCAGAAGGAAGTGGAAGGAGCTGATATGTAGCTAAATAATAAAAAGTTAAAAAAGCTCAAATTTGCATTAAAACAGCTCAATTTTAGCTGAAATCGCAGATAAAGCAGAAATAAGCTGAAAGGAGATTAACAAGATGAAATTAGCAGAAAGAAGTTAATTATGCTGAAAGTAGCAGGAATTACCAATAAAGAATTGAATTTATCTAAAAACAGCTGAAATTAGCAAATTGTTTTCTAAAAATGTAGCTGAAATGGTAGAAGAAGCTTAAATTAGCAGAAGAAAGCAGAAAGAACACGTTTGCCCAGTTAGGCTGAAAGAAACAGAAATGAGCACATAAAAGTGGAAATCATCTGAAAACTAGCTGAAATGAGCAAAAAACAGCTGAAAAGTAGCTAAAAAAGGCAGAAGTTCAAATTACAAGATGGAAGTGGAGAGCACATTTTTGCTGAATTAGCTTGAAAAAGTTTAGCTGAGTGTAAAAATGCGCAATTAGCTGAAAAAGCTTAAACTAGCATAAAAACAGCTATGTAGTAGCTGAAATAATCAGAAAAGCTTAAACTTGCAGAAATAAACTGAAAGGAGCATAACAAGCTGAAATTAGCAGAAAGAAGTTAGAAGATGCACAAACATTTAATTAGCAGAAAGGGTCTGAAAGGAGCACATAACAGCTGAAAAAACAGCTGAAATTAGCTGAAAGTAGCTGAAAAAGTTTACATTTGCACAAGGTAGCTGAAAGAAGCTGAACCAGAACAAAATGTGAAAGGAGCAGTAAAAGGTTGTAAACAGATCTAAAGTTTTGAAGGATGTAAAATGAGCTCAATTAATTTTCTATGAGAAAAAAATGGCAGAAAAGACTAAATATTTCAAAAAGCTAAAGTTGCATCAAAAGTCATAGCAGGATTGGTCTGAAAGAGCTGAACGTTTTGATTTATGATTTGTTGAAATAGATTGAAAACGGGACGAGAAATGTATGGAAGAAAAACAGATCACAATAGTGTGAATGCGTCATAAACATTCACGCTATTAAATATTTCAAAAAGTATAACAGCTACAACAATGAAAAGCAGCCGAACATTCTGATACCTGGACAGCTGGAACAACTAAAACAGTTAAAGTCAGAAAAACAAACAGCCAAAACTCTGAACGTTGTCAGGACGAGTGGAAACAGACTATTGTGAAGCACGTCTGCGTTCGTAAAAATAAGTCCAACATTTCTGGACGTGCGTGTCTGTGTTGCAGCCGTGCTACAGTTACACGTGCGCTCTACTCATCAGCTCCATTCACACCGAACGATACCGGTTCATGGGATTAGCCCAAATGAGCTCTGAG